ACCTCTATTCCTGTTCCATCGAAAGATGATACTACCCAGCTGACCCCAACTAACACCGATGCTTCGTGGATTCAGAATTCTACACTAGCCCCATCGAGTACGGATAATACCCAGCTGGTACCAACCCCCGGCGACTTAAGTGCTGTCCCATCAATGGTTCCAGACCTTAGTATCTTGCAGGCGGCTGAAAAACTTGACATCATCGGAGAAACGGTGCAAGACGATCCGACTCAGCTGATCGATAACAATGTGATTTAGAACAGCTTACGTCGACTTAAGACTTGGAAGCGTCGACCGTGTCTAACAGCAACTGGTGTCTAAAATAATAGGTTGATTTACCTCAATTTTCATATTTTCTAATCTCCTTTAACCATACGTGCCTTGTCGATGTATAACTTCTTGCATTCAATAATAGAAGAACATGATGAAAAATGTACGATTTGAGGATCTAAAGGTTTCCGTGAAGGCGAGACGTAGTGTGTGTGACAAGAGTAATTTGGAACAATTAGACGTTGTTGGACCACTCAACTTTGTTAAGCTTTAAGAGGAAGACATTCGGGTAAAGGATGAAGAATGGGCAGATACATTTCCCGTTTTCGTGTTGGTAATGATTCCGTTTTATCAGTATCACATCACCTGATATGGTATGTTTTTATCGATAGATGCTGATGCAAAATATCTACTTTGCTCATCGCGGGAGTTTAAATGAGCCGAATAACGCATTTCCTGCCGGCAAAAGTAAACAGGAAAAGAAAAAAGAGAATTTCTTGTCTTCTGCTGGACTTTTGTAAGTGTTGACATAAGAAGTTTTAGTATCATAGTTTGGGTATACTGTTTATTGGAAAGTCTCAGTCTCGAAAGTCTTTCGATTAAGACTAAATAGGTGGAAGTTGTGTTAATTCTAGATATTTTCTTAACAACCAGGCGCTTTTGAAAATTGCTTTCATTGAGTTTATGTTAAATTTATCGTGTTTCAATCTTTAATTTATCCTTATGTTGCCATATATATACCAAATTACTCTGCCATTGTGATGAACAATCCATTAACTTAAACCATTAAAAAAACGATGTGGCGTACGTACTGGTTAGGTACCCCCGAGTAAAGACTTAACACAGCGTAATCGAACTCAGTATTTTTATTTTATTTTTTAACCCATCGGTGGTCATCGAGGGATTCTAAAGCCTCTGCGCAAAGCTGATAACATAAAATGGACCCCAATCAAGAAATTGGGGCCACTGTACCTTAATCACTAGGCTATTCTGAGAAGGTTCCCCCTGGTGCAATTGTTAAGCCCTGACACGATGACCCAGTGGTCACTGGCTCGATATCTTTCGAGAACAAGTCTTTCTATATCCAGAAACTCGAGTATTATAATGGAAGACAACTTGTGGATCGGCATGAAGTAGTCTGATTTGCGTAAACAAAAAAATAACACTCACTAACTCCAGCCTAAATCTGACTTTAGATGGACAAAAATGAAGGCAGTTTTCAAGATCAATACTGTTTGTTGGTCAAGTAGAAGGTCATTTTAAAGAGAATATATTTATTTAAGTACTCAGTTCGCTACGTTGGGTTCATTCTTCTAGACCTTTTTAGAAGCTATTTAGTGACGTTATTTAATGACGTCACACCCTTACCATTAAAATCATAGACATAGCCAATAATCATGTAAAGCCTTCAATCTTGTCCTTATGCATTCAGTGGCGTAAATATGTGTGTGCAGCTCCAACACTCCCACTCGCCACTAATGCATTGTTGAAATTGATCGCACACCGCTTGCATTTGTAAAAAAGCTTGAGATTCTGGTCTCTAAAGGCTTTGTCATCATGTTTGTTAGCTGTTTCTCCGTGCTGATATAACTCACTACGATCGCATCTCGAGCCACGTTTTCCGGATGGAGTGATGACGTCTATCTACATGCTTTAATCAAGCATTGTAAATCGCATTGTTTGCAAGCGCGATTGCATCGTGGTAGTCCTCGAAGACCAAGTCGCTTCTGCATGTTAAAGGCCGAGGTCTTTAAGCATAGCTCGCACCCATAAAAATTTCTGCGTACACAAGCTAAGCGCCATATAGCCCGCTTCTGCTGAGCTGATAGCTACTATACGTCAATACTTTGACTTGAATGACACAGGAGCATGTTCAATCACTACCGCGATCCCCAACACAGAGCGACGGTCGTCGATGGTACTACTCCAGTCGGCATTCGCGTATGCCACGACGTATAAGTCACATATGCTGTTCGTGTAGACAAGTCCATGCTTTTGCGTCGTCGTGAAATATTACATACACGAATGGCAGCCTTCCAAGCTGTGAGTCCGGATTTTTGAGAAACAAGATAGTTAAGTAACAACGTATGCACCGTCAGGACGAGTGCATGACGTAATGTAGAAAAGGCATCCAATAAGCGACTTGAATGGCTTAGAGCGCATCTCGTCTGCCCAACATTGGTCGTCGGCGACTGCAGCATAGACAACTTTAATCTCTACTTGGATAATCTCTTAACTATCTTATCGTTTTGCTGGGTAAATTCTTCACTACGTCGTTGATGTTGCGAGTCAGTTTGATCACATGAGTCTCCTTTGCCTGATCGTAATATAATTCTATCTTGAAAATAAACCTGGCCCCACTGAGCTCATTCATTCTGAATGCTTATTGAGCGCTACCTCGACTTCTTGATTCTCTTTGCTCGTTTCAGCTGCAATGAATATGTCATCAACAGAGAGAAATACGTACACCAATCTCGACATCCTCTTCTTAAAATATACGCATTTGTCGGCTGCACAGATCTCGGATCCGACCTGCACAAATACCTGATGAAAAATCCTGTTCCACGCATTAATGTATACATAATCGACTTCTTAACTGTTTGTGTTCACATAACCCTCAGTCACGACACGTGCCAAAACCATTCGATTTGAATTTATGATGGCAAACTATACAGCAAAGTATTGTTTGACGCTCTTGGCTACAAGCAGAGCTTTATACCTTTCCATTTGCCAGCTCTCATTTTGCTCCTTTGTAAAGATCCGCCGACAAGCAAACGCATATCCGCCTTTTTACATGGAGGTTCATAACACATTGAGCTCGTGCGCTTTAAGCTCAGCCTTCATTGTTTCCATCCATTTCGGCGTATCTTGACTTGCCATGGCCTGCTGATACGTGGTTGGGACATAATCTGCATTCCCGACTTTTGCTGCATTGCTAACACTGCTCCAGCAACCAGACCGTCTTTATCTACGCGAGATCTCTTAGGCGATGGAGGTCAGAAGTGGTACATCATTGTTATGACCAATGTAATCATCTTCAGCAATAGCTCCAACATTAGTCGAGTTGGGGCCTGTCGAGCTGGGATTCGTACTGCTATTATCCAGAACCATAATCTTATTGTGTTCCCGATGTCCTCGCTCTACCTGCGGACGGTACACCATTTTCTTGCTCATTGCCGGTCCTCTCGCTCTACCAAATATCGAATACTCTTCTGACCGGTTGAGGATGGATCGCCATCAACCTCACGCATCATGAAATCTTTGCTGTGTTTCCAAACTGGCAACATCGGCCTGTGGGCCATTGGCAAAAATCGATGATGGTGAGGATTTGGGTCTTCATTGTCCAAGTAAATCTTAACATCGCTATTTTCATTGATCACAATCGGGCCGTACGTCTTCCCAGTGTCGCATTTGCTATTTATCTCACGCTCGTTAATTTTAAAAGACCTTACCACTTTGATATTCTGCAAATCCAAGTTGAAAACCCTGAAGCCCTTGATATTGTCGGCGTACCCCCAAAAGCAAGCATCGAAAGGTCTTTAATTCCATTCTCGTTCGCTTGGCATAATCTACATGTGCAAAACCATGAGATTCAAACGCGCGCAGGTATTTTAAGTCTGGCTCAACCCTGATACCAATCTCGTACGGCGTTATGTCCGAGAGATGGTCCTGTTGATCACGTAGACTGCCGTATTGATTGTCTCTGCCCAACATTCGGTGGATTTTCCTTATAGGGCAGCATGCATCTTGCCTTTTCTAAAGCGTTGCAATTCTTCCTCTCAGCTACTCCGTTTGCTGCGAACTGTTAGGCACAGGCTGCTGGTGTATGATACTTCTAGGGTCACAAACATCCTTCAGCGTCTTCTTATTTACAAATACTTAGCCTTTGTCCGACGGCAACAACTTATTGCGATTTTTTTCATATAGCCTCTTTTAAGCCTTGAACATTTGCGCACCACCCCCCTCTTTTCTTGAGGAAGCACACGAACACATTTTCTGGATTATCGACCACAAAGCTTAGCATGTGCTTTGCCTTGTCCTTCGATTGTGTTTCATTGGATCCATCTTGTCCGTGTGTATTACTTCATGTCCACACGGCGTTTGGACATCGATTAAGACGGAAACTGATTCACTGTCTGCTCGACCATCATGCATCCACCACATAACGTCTTGATCTGCTGCTTCGTTGCTGATATTTCAATTAATGATTTTTTTACCCAACCGAGCGAGCTCCCACTGGTTTTCAACCTTTGCATGCATAATCCACGTAAAGCGCACTTTTTTGTTGACAATTCAGCATGTAGGATTTGCCAACTTTCTTGCCCGTAGCTATCGCTTCTAATTTTTTTAAAATAGTACACAATGTTCTTTTGTTAAGTTTACACTGCTGAATGCGTGTGGATGGCGTCACGAGGATTACGATCATGTTTACAATTACTACCATGAATGCGTATGCAGATAGCGGACATCAAGACAGCTAGTGATACTTCTGAGCAGCTTGCCGGTGGAGTATGAGACGATTTCTTCTATCGTGGAGAATGCCAAAGACATCACTCTGATCGAAGCAAGGAGGTGCTTTTTTAAAGTCAGACAGGCTGCAGAAGAAGAAAGCAAGTTAGAAAGCATTTCGCGCCTCAGGCAATGACAGACGGATCAAGGTCAGGCGAGGAAGTGGACGCAAAAATTACGCGACACGCAAGGACGGCAATGCTTGAAATGTGACTAGACCGGTCATATGTGACGGGATTGCCCGGCTGAGAACCGTTTCAGGAACCGTTTCAGCGGTAATGATGCAGTATTTACTGTGAGGAGGAATAATCAGCAAGCTGGCTGATTGACAGTGGTGTGACATTACACATGACTCCTCACCGAAGTGACTTAATCGACTTCATGTGACTTAAAGCCGACGTCAAGATAACGATTGCAGACGGCAAGAACTTATGCGTCGAATGAGCTGGAACATTGAAGCTTATCGGCGTAAACGGAAGACGCATATCGATGATGGAGGTGCTGCTTACCCCTGGACTTGACAGACGTTTACTGTCGGTGGGAAAGCTTGCCGAACGTGGACTTAGCGTGGAGTTCCAGCGTGCTACGTGCACCATTTGTGACAAGAACTAGGCAACTGGGACTTGAAATGGAAAGCTTACACACTCAAGTGTCCGCAAGTGGATGCACGATTGGCGCAATACTCGGAAGCTGATAGTCAGTGGGTGCTGTGGTACGCTCGTAAGAAGGTATGCCTGCGCTGAAACAAGGTATCAAAATCTTGTGTGGTGGACGCATGAAGGGCAAGCAAATGATTGAAGCCTTTCCATGACGTATTATGACAAAGACGCCACGTGTATTGGAATCAGCTCACACGGACGGTATGGGACCGAGACCCTTTCGAAAAGAGGTGCGAAGTTATTTTAATTTTTGTGCATGATTAATCACGATATGTGGTGTCTTACTTTCTGGTGAAGAAGAGTCAAGTCGCCGACATGATCAAGATGTTCAAAGCTTTGAATAAAAATTTAATGGGGTATCCGTATCGAGTGCCTGCGTTTGGACAACGGAACGGGGTTTGTCAACAAGGTTATGTCAGCGCAACGGCATCATACATCAGCGTACAGTACCATACCATCCCTAACAAACGGAAATGTAGAACGAACAAACCGCGCGATTGTGGAATGGGCACGCTACCTAATACAGTGCACCCAAACAATACCCCGTATGAGCTGAGGGTAAAGATGAAGCCTCGGATGGATTACCCTAGTGTGTTTGGGTCTCATGGGTATGCTCACGTTGATCAAGTGAAGCGGACGAATCTCCAAGCCAAAAGCTTCGAGTGCATGTTACTTGGTTATGCCAGAGACGCCAAGGGATACCGAGTATACGATTTGAAGAAAGACAAGATATTCGGTGAAGCTGAACGAGCGTGAAGTGGGCGGTATTTATGAGACACATCCACCCAAACAAATAGAACTGATAAAGGTAATCAAGAACAACGATGAAAGCGCAGTGTCCAGGTCGAACAAATACCAACAAGATCAAAATGAGCTATGGAGTATAAAAAAGAAGAAGAAATTTGCAATGCTCCAGTATATGAGGAGGAGTCCGACACAAATAAGTCAAGGGTCGAGGTACTTCGATTACCGGTCTCAGTACATTCTGAACTAACAGAGGCCAGAAATCCTATATTGGATGCACAGGAAGATCGATTGGTTATTTAACCTCAACTGGAATGTTCAGGACGTACACGCAAATTAATGTTGTTACGGGAGACCGGATCAGACGCCGAAAAAAATTGGGAAGGAAGCGAAGGACCACCATCTCCAAAGCGTGCAAGGATTTTTGAAGACGGCCTCATCGCTGAAGCTGTTCCCGCTTACTTTGGTAGTGAAAGATCGGACTTGCCTACCACGTATGCGTAGGCAACGGCGAGTGGCGAAGCAGAATATTGGCGACAAGCGATGGACGCCGAATTACAACCGCATCGTCAGGAAAAAACATGGACACTCGTTCCACGAGAATCAATTGGACTTACGATTGGACGCCGCTTTATCTTTGCTAAGAATCGTAACCAGAATTGATGTGTTGTGCGCTCTGAAGCACGATTGGTGGCTAAAGGTTTCAAGAAGAATTACGACGTCGATTTCCTTGATACTTACTCCAAAGTGACCAACACAATTCGAGTTTTACTCGCAGTGTGTGCGGCATTAGGCTTCAAAATGGAGCAGCTAGATGGTCGAACGTCTTGTTCCAAGCACTTGCAACTTGCTTTAGTTCATGTATAGCCTTGTTCCGCTGGCACGTAAATTCTTGAGCTCCCTTAACACCAATTAGAACCTCCATGTCAACACGATCCGACAGCACACTGTTGAGGAAGGTAGTGTCGACGCGTCTTCAAAAGAACGATTTCAAAAGTTGTGGAGCGGATCAATACGTATATGTGAAGAAAGGGAAAGAAGGTTTTTTGTACGCTTGTCTATATGTTGATGATATGATCTCGGTATGGCGAAGTTCATCTTGGGCATGGAAAATGACCACGGCAGGACAGCTTCCACACTAATGATATAGCATACATGCCACATTAGCGACGTGGCTGAGCGATTCGGACAGAGAAACGCTGAGGACGTCGACAATTCATGTACGTCTGGTCTCAAGCTGTCAAATCACAGTCAACAAGTATAGAGGCTGAGCTTTCAGAGATGCGGTCAAGACCATACCGCTCACTAATACCCGTAATCATAATAGTAACTGCAAACATTACCGGAATACTTGTGACGTCATCCTCGCACATTCAGCGGTGTATCTCAACAAATAACTAGTCAGAACTTCCTTCTGACTGTTCATGTTTTGCAAGCTTATCGTGTCTTGTGGCGATGATTATGGCCCGAGAAATCGATTTTGGATTTTCAATCGATGAAACGGGCCATGTTCAGTCGTGTACCTTAAAAATGTTATGCAGCTTGTCATCTTTGAAAGGTACTCCAGCGTCTAATTACTCAAACCAATCTTGTCGCCCACAATACGTATTACAACATCGCATATGACACCATACCGTGAAGACCTACTTGATTTTGATGATACGATCTTAGGCATCAACGTGACCATTGCAGACGAACATTCCAGGACTCGAGAGACGGCTGCTATCGGTTGGAAAACTTGCAAAACGTGGTTTACGTGTGAAGTTTCAGCAATTTTCATCTGTTATCTGAGGCAAGATCAAGGCTTTAGCTTTGGGAGAAATGGCCAGCAAAGCTATCGTCCCTGATTGCAAAGTTGAAGAAGCGCGTGTTGTGGAGTACGCCGGTGATGACAATCAGTTGGAGCTGTGGCATGCGCGCATGGGACATTCAAGCGAGAACGGTACGGTCAAAACACAGCATGTCTTGCATGGTATGCCAGCTTTACGCCGTGGTATTAAGATTATATACAGTGGATGTATGAAGGGTAGGCAGACCGTATCGCCGTTTCATCACAATCAATATCCAAGACATCGCGTGTTTTGAAGTTAGCTCACACAGACGTGATAGGACTCATGCAAACGGTATCGAAATGAGGATCAAGATATGTGCTCATATTTGCGGATAATCTTCTTACGTTTCGTGGTTGCTTACTTCCTGAAGAGTAAGAGTGAGGTCGCCGTGATGCTCGCTGAATATAATATGTTCGAAAAGCAATGGGGAGAGCAAATTAAATGCATTCGTTCTGACACTGGAACGGAATTCGTAAACAAGAAGGTCACAGCTATCGCTCTCGTAATGGTATCATGGATCAGCAGACTGTTCCTTATAGCCTCCAGCAAAACGGTGTAGCGGAACGAATAAATCGCACTATCATGGAGAAGGCAAGAAGCATGCTTTATTATAATGACACGGCAATGATATAGTGGGCAGAAGCTGTAAGCACTGCAGTCTATTTGACAAATAGATCTGTGAACACCGAGCGAAGGGACATGATGCCGTACGAAGTAACTTAAGCCGAAACCACGAATGAAACACCTGCGTGTGTTTGGATCCACGGATATGTTCACGTCGACAGCGCTAAAAGGACGACGCTTGACCCTAAGTGCTATAAGTGTTTGCTTCCTGGATATACTGAAAACGCGAGGGGTATCGTGTTTATGATTTGGAATCATCAAAAATCAAGATTACAAGATCTGTTCAGCTTGATGAGCGTGAAGTTAATACCGTGCTCGAGCAAAAAATCATTTTTAAGGAGTTGAATGAAGAAGCGACTCATTTTTCCGCTGAGCGGCGACCGGGGATAGTCGAACCTATGAACAGTGTCGATCAGTCTACGCCAAGTGTTGAGATGGATGCGGTCGAATCAGAGCGCTATATTAATATGGTGCGACCTCTAGCACTCGATGATTGGACATCAACTGGGCAAGAGCTGACAGGAGATCTTTCTCCGCAAATAATTAAGGAGAATCGTTTAATGTTTCTTCCGGGCACAGAGCGGTCAAGGCGTTCTCGAGAGCCAACTTTATTACTGGAAGACGGCTTCGAGCTGGATGATGAAATAAGAAAGCGAAGGATCACCGCCTCCAAAGCGCCCGATAATTGACGAAGATGGACTACTTGCCGAAGCATTGTTGGCGTATGAGGCAAGAATCGACGGGATTTCTGATACTCCAAACACATACGCTAAAGCAGCTTCAAGTATTGAAGCAGAGTTATAATAAGCAGCAATGAAGACTGAATTGCTATCACCAGAACAGCACATGGTCTATTGTATCGCGCGGAGCTACTCGTCCGGTTGGATGTCGATGGTTTTTTGCAAAGAAGCGTGATAAGAGCGGCCGAGCCATTCGCTACAAGTCACGGCTTGCCGCAAAAGGGTTTAAAAAGAAGTCCGGTGTGAGTTTTCATAAGCGTTCTCCCCGTCGTGGACATGATTCGATTCGGGATGTCTTGGCTTTTTTGCGTCGCAGACGGATATGAAATGGAACAGTTGGATGCAGATACTGTGTTCTTAGAAAAAGTAAGCAATGTGACCGAGTCTATGTAGAAATACCGCCTGGGGTCAAAACTACTAGAGGTCTTGTATAATGAAGAATAAGGCCATACACGGGTTAAAACAAGCAGCTAGAGCCTGGAATCGAACGTTTCATGGAGTCTTCGTTTCGAATCGCTTCAAGAGTTGTGGCGCGGATCAGGGCATATGTAAAGCTCTTTAAGAGCGGGTACATCTACGTTTGCCTCTATCTGGACGATTTGATAATTGCAGCAAAGACCCGCGCAGACATCCTTAAAGTCAGAAATTTCCTCAAGCGTGATTTCAAAATAAAGGAGCTTGGTGACGCAAAGTTTATCTTGGGGATGGAGATTGATTACGACAAGAGAGTCGAAACGCTTATGAGCAAGCGGACGCGGTACATTGACGATGTTACGCAACGACTCGGTCAGCAGAACGCCAAGACGACCGATATCCCATGTGCCTCCAATCTCAAGCTTTTCAAAAACCAATCATCAGGAACAGATGCATGCACAAGCTACTGATTTGTTGTCAGAGTCATATCGCTCCCTCATCGGCTGTCTTATGCACATAGTAACATGTACTAGACCGGACATTGCCCATGTAGTTACGCAACTATCAATATTCTCAAAATTTTTGGAATACAGCATTGGCAAGCCGCGATTCGTGGGCCAAGGTACTTGAAGTCAACGCGGCTACATGGAATCGTATGTGAAGGAGGGGTCAGCAACATTATGGTTGAAGCAGTCACAGACGCAGACTGGGGAAGCAACATCGACGACGAACGATCTGTATCTGGCGTGGTGGACGAGATTAAAAACGGACCGGTGGTGTTCAAGTCAAAATTTCAGAGAGCTGTGGCACGAAGTTCAACGAAAGCGGAGTGCATGGCACTAAGCCTGTGCACCCAGGAAGTTTTGTGGACGCGCGCGATGTTGAAGGACATGGGCAAAGACCAGAATCATGCAACGCAAGTCTGGGACGACAACCAAGGGGCAATAGCACTGGTCCAGAATGCGGTATGTCATGCCGGAAGTAAGCGTCGACATCAATCATCACTTTACGCGAGAAAACGTTGAATACAGAGCGATCCAAATCGACTACGTCGACACAAAGCATCAGCTCGCGGACATACTTCCCAAGGCACTGGGGGCTAAGACGCTCAAGTTTCTCCGCGAAAAGACTGGCTTCAAGAAGCAAGAATCATAGCAAGTTCAGCATTAGCGGTAAGTGGGAGTTTTGAGATACACCGCTGATTACGAACATATAGATAAATAAGGTTGCTTGAAGCGTTTAGAATAGGCTTAGATGTAGCACAGGTTAGTGAACTAATGACCTTAATATATTCACTACGGTTTTCTACACTATTTTATCATTTAGCCAACAATTTGACGATTTCCCAAATTCCTTAGGCATCCGTCCATTAGTCAAGGCAATGCTTTTAACATCTGTGGTTGATGAAGTTCAAGATCTTTACAACGAAGGCGAGAATCAGTTTAACTAGTTTTGACAAGCTGATACTTTCGCAGCAACAACGTTACGTCGAAAAGGGGCTTAAGGGTGCAATGCTTTACAAACGATCGTAAATATCGTCGAATGTTGCGATTTGAGTGAGAAGACGGATGGATTAATGAAACTGTACCACTAATGATGATGAACTGAACAGAATCACTGGCATCATAGGACGAGTACGTGTCCGAAACGAGATGAAAAAAGAATTTGGTGTTTACTACGCCATCTCGACAATCACAAGTTTGTTTTCATCTATCAGTTCAAAGCCTGATAGTTTTCTTTGTATCTATATTTTTAAAGAAACGATTGAAGTGCATGTTTTACTCTTACTGATACTTTCTACGCCAATAATCCTGTTGATACCATAATGTCGAACTCAGTTCGTCAT